GATGTTCCTGCATAACACGGGTACGCTTGCTCCTTTGCGTGCGCGTAATCAGCAGCTTTCTTTCCAGTGTGCTCCGCGGCGTGCTCCAGGGGATAGGTCGGGTGGCATTCTGCCTGGAAGAGGGGCTTGCCGTAGCTCTTCGGAGGGTGTGGCACGAGGGGATGCGGGAAATGGGCCTGCCACCACGGAGGCTGCTGGGCCGGTAAGTGAACCATACACACGGTGGGGTACTGAAACGGAAACAGGGCATTCTGGATGGGAGAAAATGGAATCGTCTCTTGATGTGGAAATAAATGTGGCTGTTCAGATAGCTGCTTGCTTGCGATATAGGATGTGGGCTGTATCAAGGGATTCCTCAGAGATTCCTGGCTGTCCATGTGCATGATCTGTTGTTGGGCCAGGTGGAGTGGCCCCGAGCTCAGCTGGGCACAAGGACCCGCCAGCTGCTTCCCGGGGTCCTCAGCCTGGAGAGGAAGCAGCACAGAGGAGGGGGCGTGGTGCCACGTGGACCTCAGGCCCGCCTGCAGATGCTCCATCTGCTCCTGCTTCACGCCCAGGTCCACCCCGGCCTCGCCCTGGGCCACCTCAGGGGAGCCGCTGAAGGACGCCTGCCGCACCAGGAAGCACTTCTTCCTCTCCCGCGACGGGGACAAGGTGGGGGCCGCCGCCCCTGGCACCGGGGCGTGGGACAGATTCCCATAATCAAACGACTTGCTCCGAATTTCCGGGACTTCCGTTGGGTGAGGACAAGGCATCTGCTCGGATGAGCAGCGTCGCATCTCCTTTTGGTGGTGGTGGCCCGGGACGGACAGCGAATAGGAACCAGCGGGGACGGTCAAAAACTCCGAGTGCTTCCCGAACTCCTCCTGCTTGCCGGGGGCCGCAAGCTTGCCGGCTTCTTCTCTTTCAAAAGACATGGAGAAACTGGAGCTGTGGGACAGGTTGCTGTCCTGGCTGGGGCTGCGAGACAGGCCGGTGCCCGTGGACTCGAAGCTGGACTCCCCGGAGGAGTGCTCCATGTCCGCCAGGCGCAGCCGCTTCTTCTTGGGCGGCAGCTTCTCCGCCGGCAGCTGGGAAAGGGTCTCGCTCCTCTGCGGCCACTGAAACTCCTCCACCGGCTTCTTGGGCTCTTTACTCTGGGCTTCCTTCTCTTTGTCGGGCTTGTCGGGCTCCTCCGTCACTCGAATCTCAGGAACCTGAATGTTGTGCTGGCGAACCAGCCTGGGCTGCGCGTGGATCGCCTGCTGCGGGGCCTGCGCGCCCGGGGCCGCCTTGCCCGCCGCCTCCGCGCTCTCGCCCGGGCCGGCCCACTCCGGGCTCACCGGGGCCTCGGAAACCTCGCTGTCGCAGGTCTCGGAAGGGGAGGACGCTTTCTCCTGCACGCTGGCCGCCAGTTCGGATGACTCGGACCTCTCAAACGAGTTGGGTCGGCTCAGCGAGTTGGTGTGCTGAATCACAGAGATCACGTTCCCGGGAGGTTTCCTGCCCCCCGGGTCGGACATCTTCTCCGAATCGGCGGCTGAAGGGAACTCCTCTGACCCAAGAGACGGGCTTCCAGACTGCAGTGGGGGTCGACACGGGTCAAAGCGATCGGAGTGGCCATGAGACACGCTCTCGGGCCCCGCGGTGGCGAATCCACTCCGGCCGCCTTCCTGGAGCTGCGGTTTGGGGTCATACTCTGAAGTCCTGAGGCCCGCGGGGGTGCTGGCCACGCTGCTGCAAATCATGGGGACGTCCTCCTCGTCGCCCACACTCTTCTCTTTCCGGCGTTTCCTGTTCTCGCACGTCGTTCCGAACATGGTTGGCACTCCCTGCAAGGACACCGAGGGGTCCATGGCATACTCCCCGCCGTGCTTTACGGAGCTTAGGCAGGAAATGTCCCTGTAGCTCTGCTTTGGTGTTTCAGAGTCTTCCCACTTTTTGTACGGTTTCCGGGAGACGTCATAGTCGTAGCCAGCCCTGTCCCCAGGAATCAATTTCTTTTCCTTCAAGGATGAACCTGAGATACTCTTTAACATCCTGCCATGGTGTTCCGCCTCCACGTGTCCCTCCTGTACGGAAGGCAGCTCAAAGGCAGCTTGTCTTCTTAACATGCGCTGAGGAGGGATCCCAACAGTCCCCGGATAGAACACATCATCCGAACCAGTCATCCGCTCATCAAATGAATGGCTTCCTCTCAAAGAAGGAGGAACACTTAGATTCGTGGCTGAAGAAGTTGGCATTGAGTTGCTTCGGATAAGGGGTGACGAGTCCATAGGAGCCTCTAAGAGAACTAGGTTGCTGCCTTGGAAATTTGCAGGATAAGGTTTTCCTTCATTCCTGACAGATGATGGGACAGCCTGGGATTGTCTGGACTCACTGTTGAATTTAGTGGATTTCAGCATGCTTGTCTGACTGGTATCGATTTCTCCTTTGCTTGGAATCAGCTGCGAAACGGGATCTTCAAACATCTTGACGTCTAACCTGGTGTTGACGTGAGGTAATGTTTCCATCATCCCCTTTCTACCCATTGTGGCACACTCCTGACTTGTGGTTGTAACACTGAGTGTGTTTCTGGGACTAAGCCGATAGTATTTTCCAAAGATGATTTCTTCATAAGACTTTGCATTTGTGTTTGGAGGGCTTATTTGCTGCTCTGCGCTTTCTGAGCGAGAAAAATAGCCAGAGTCAGTGCTTCCTTTACTGTGTGGGCTCAGAAGGTTTAGAGATGGCTCAGAATCTTGTCCTTTCTTCTCCGACAGTCTTAGTGCAAGTTTCTGTTTCACTGTGTGAGAGTCATCAGCCTTAGTATTTAAAGACAGATTGGGTAGCATATCAGAGCCAATATACTGAGAGTTTTCATTAGGTAAAGGAATCCCACTTTTAGGAATAATCAAAATCGGCACCTTCATTGGACCTCCCAGTGATTCTTCCAATGACCCATGGTAGCCCCCTCTGCTGGCAATATCCAATGGGATTGGTGGACCAGGACTCATTTTCTCAGAAGCCTCAACAAATAAAGAACTCTCCTCATCCGTGTCTGTACTCTGTTCACCGTCTGAATGTATTTCTGCCTCTACATCAATAAAACCAGCCTCTAGGTCCAATTTAGATACGGCTGACTCTGTGAAAGGGACTAAGCCTGCCTTAATTGCATGGGCATGCGACTTCCTGTGCTTGTACAGATTGCTCTTTGTCTTGAAAGAGAAGCCACAAGGTATGCATGGATATGGCCGCTCCCCAGTATGAGACCTGATGTGTTTTTTCAGCACACTTGGTTTGGCACACGCCCTGCTGCAGTAAGGGCAAATGTACTTGCCTGGCTTCTTGGGTTTGTGCTCTTTCTTGTGAGCATCTTCTGACTGTTCAATACTTTTCTGGGAGTATTGGCTAAAAGCAGGGTTCAGACTTGAAATCTTTTTTCGAGGATAACCACCACTGTGGCCATGGATAGGAAAAGGAAATAAGTCTTCAGAGGCAACAGAGGGCAAAGGGGCAGGGAAAAGCCACGGAGGGCCTTCGAGGCTCTGGTGTGGCTTGTTGCTGTGCATGACTCCCTGTGGCAATGAGTGCTGAGGGAAAGAGAGTGAATGTTGGCATGAGTAAGGACTCGGACGGTGCAGTGGGTATGGCTTCTCTGTGGCTTGCTGTGCCACCTCGCTAGGGGAGGCCAGTTTCCCAGACCCGAAGAGTTGTGCTGATGCTGTGTTTCCGATTTGCTCCGGATCTATTTGTGGTTGCCGCTGTCCTTCTTGACTGCCAAAAGTGCTCATCTTAATAACAGCTGATTGTTCCTGTCTCCATCTACCTGATGCTCTATCAGTTTCTCCAGACCTTGAGGTAGCTTTTTGTCCTAGAGCTGTGTCCCCAGTGTCCATTTTGTTACACAAGGTCTTAAGTGCTAATTTGCTTGAAAGCCCTGCAGACTCATGGAGGGTCTCCAAAGCTGTGCTTTTCAAAGCGTGCTCACTTCCATGTTCCAGGGTGTCTGCAAACCTGCCCAATGCTCCTTCTGTTTGGAACCTTTCACACCCGCCCCGTAGTCTACCGGCAATAGATGGTGATGTCCTTGGACCTGGGCTATAACACAGTTCTCTCCATTGCAGCAATGTCCATCCAAAAGCCAAGTGTAAATCTATGAAAATTTCTTATGGCATTTGAATATTTTCAACTAGGATGAAATTGGGGTGGTGAAGAGCCTAGGAGAAATTCTGCCCATCAACTAGAGCAAAGTTCAGATGCCGGTTTCACTAAGATAAAATGATCTGGGGGAAAAAAGAAAATGCGAAGAGACTGTCAAAATGGTTCTCAAGTTCAAAAACAAAAACAAAAAAGAAAACCAATCCTAAATAACCAGACTGAAATTGGATAAATTGAAAATTATATTTTACTCTAATAAATTATTTTTATGGTTGTTACATTATTTCCACAACTAAAGGACATTAATATCAAACTTAGCATTATTAAGTCATAAGCATAAATCTCTTCAATACTTGAATTGTGGTCATCCTTTTAAATACATTTTAGTTTGGGTTAGAAAAGAATTTAATAAAAACTTTTGATAAATGTTACTTATAAAATCATTAAAATTTTTAAAGCCTTCATTAAAATAGATGTAGAGCTATTTCTAACCAAGTTCTATGACTTGCATGCTGGTGTATACGTTTCTCTATATAGATATATTTTATAGATGAATACAAAATGTATATTTAGCAATAAATATAATGTACAAATTATTATAAATACATAACATAATATATAATATACTATATATATTTATAGCTTAAAAGCAGTGATTAGCAGAGCGAGACTAAGTCTAAGAATCTAAGATTGTCACAAAACTTTGAAAAAAGCAGGAAAGTCAAGATAAATACATAATTATAAAACACCCATAATATGCAAAACACAATGTATTTTAGGAACACTTAAAAAATGTAACGGTTACCTGAATGGTTTAGAGTTCTCATGGGCATGATTGTCTTGACGCTTCCTGGGCAGAAATAAATCCAGTTAGGAAAATTGTCCCATTAAACCACATTGCTGCATACAGACGTCATTTTAAAGTTCACTACACAAATATAGAATTCACAATGCTATGTGCCCTAAAGGAAAAAAGCAAATAAGCCTTATGTTGACATGGTGTCCAAAAGTAATTCAGAAAAGAAGTTATAAAAACTTCAGAGTAATCTTTTCTAAGATATAAGATTACTATAGAAAAAAAATCTTAACTTTTTTGGCACAGTTAACCTGGTTCCAATAATAGGAAAATGTTGAGAATAGTCGGGTTTTTTGTTGTTGTTGTTTTAACCTACAGGTTTGAACATTTAAAAGAATACATTTCCTTTTTAGGAAATTTACATCACAAGCAAGTGAAGGAGTCCTCCAGATGACTGTGAGAACTTGACGACTTAGAAACTATTAGATTTTAAGTGATATTCATCTTCCATAAACAAATGTCCAATCCAGCACCCAGAGGATGCCGAGAACTTCAGTGCTCAATTGTACCAATGACGTTGCAAACTGAGTGAGTTTCTGGTAGGCAATGTGGCACTGCCTATCAAAGTAAGAAAACTCATGCCTGTGGGCCCAGAAATTCCATAGCTGGGGAGCTGTCCTTACAGATGTACCTGCGTACGTATAAGGATTGCTTAAATAAATTATGCCTCCATCATAAAACTTAGCCATTTAAAAAAATGAAGTACAGCTATAAGTACCAATTTAAAAACTTGTCCAGAAGATAGTAAGATTGAATGTAAAAAAAAAAAAAAAAATGCTTATTGCACCCTAGGCTGTATTTAAGAATCCCATTTGTGTAAAAGAGAAACAGGCAGTAAACAGAAAATCTTTGCAAAGATGCCAAACAGCTTTTAACAGTAGTTAAATAGCAGAAGTAGGACCAGGGGGTCAGAGGGAGGGGCAGGAAAAGACGTCTGCTTTTCACTTTATGACTTTTGGTGGTTTTTATTTCTGTTTATTTTTTTTTAACACAAGTATACTCATCTTTTAAAGAAAATATTGGAGAAGAAAAAAGGATGCAAATGTACTACAATTTCCCAAACTAACGCTCAAGTACCGGTCATATTTCTATGCCCACTTTTTGTTCCCTAGTATAGAATGTTACTGTAAGGATGATAACAGCAGTTACACTTAGAATAGGGAAGAGAACATGGAAATCCTCATTAGAATAATAAGTCTCTGGGGTGAGAAAGGAGTGGGCCCAGCGTATTGGTAGCAAGACATCTGTGATCTAGAGTTCCTTCTGCTAAGAGCCATGGAGATTTGTAAAGCAATCGTTGGAAAAACTAAACAACAATCATATTAACTTTCATTTCTTAAAATGTTTTTTTGTTGGATTGAATTTTTCCTCCACATAGGGCCTCATAACATCTCAGTGCAAATTTACTTCAGCCAGTTCCAGCAACTATGCTAACAAGAATACACAATGTGAAACCCACATAGGCTGATTTTTTTTTTTTTTGTTTAATGAACTAAATATTGAAGGTTCTTATAGCTACAACTTCTGTCAAACTTTCAGAGGTGAATTACACCCTCTAAAATGCAAGTAGAGTGTATTTTCAATTCAAGACAGAAACATTTGCAAATATTTCCCTAACTAGGAGTCAAAGCTTGAACTGAATAATATATGTTACTTTTCATATTTAATATTTTATCATAGTCTTGATCTATGCATGCAGTTCCATTGCTAGTAAATAATAATTATGGCTCTTGTTTATTGTGCATTTAGTGTGTGCGGGATACTGGCCTAGGACCTCATATATATCATATCTTAGTTGGTCTTCATGACAGTCCTATGCAATTTATCACACCTATTTTACAGTTGAAGATGATACTTAGGTAGGTTGAGTGTCAGAATCAAAACCAAGTCCCGGTTTGGCAGACCTCCAAGCCTACGAGGTCTCACCTCTCCCATCCACCTGCACTGTTAAGTTTATTAAAACTTAAAATAATACATTGCCAATAATATGTCTCCTAAATATTTCCGCTTGACACAAATATTTCCAATGCTTAAATTTTTCATGATCCTGAGAAACTATGAGTTTTGCATCCTATGAAAATTGGCCCCCCAAAGCCATTTTCTAGAAATCGAACAAATCCATAATTTAAATAATGTTTAAACTGTATATATTAAAATACTAATGAGGACAGCTACTTATGAGAACATGACACATTCTCATGAGAAAAACTGTTTTACTTTATTCTTTAAAAAGGGAGACTGGGTGAAAAAGTTTAAGGATTAAGAAGCACATATTGGTAGTTACAAAATAATCATAGGGATTTAAAGTACAGCTTAGGGAGTCTAGTCAATAATATTATAATAACTACGTGTGGTTCCAGGTGGGTGCTGGAGACATCAGGGGACACTGTGTAAAGTATGTGATTGTCTAACCACTATGCGGTACACATGAAACTAACACAAAATAATATTGAATGTAAACTATAATTAAAAACTAAAAATCTTTTAAAAACATAACTTTTAAGGAAAATAAGAACCTCTTTCAAGTTAAATTTAGAGATATAATCACTTCCTATTTGTTAATTTACACAGAATTATAATGTTGCTTAGAATACAGACTTCATATGTAAAATTATACGAAAAACAGGAGACTAGAATAATATATTTACTAATTAAATACAGTATAATATTTTCCATTGCAATGAGGTAACACCTTCACAAATCAGATGGTTTTAATTTTTATAGTTTATAGTAATACATTAAAACCATTATACCCTAAATAAGACACACACAATTCTTATCCCTAAAAACATATAACATAAAAGAGATACATCAAATAAAGTTTATTTTTAAAAAGCAATAATATTTTGCTGTTTAAGAATAGATCAGAAGCTGAAGAAAAGTGATTTACATAAAAATTAAAAGCAAATATTTAATGGTCAGATCAAAAATGATCTGGAACATTTTAATTGTTGGGTTTAAACTTTTAGAAAAAGAGGCCAATCAGCAAAAGTCATATCTCCTATTTTATTAAGAAAGTAAAAATCAATTTTGCTGATACTCACACAATATCATTCTATATTTCAATAGAATTTATTATCCAGAAAATTTTTTAAATTAGAAACTTTGATTCCAGTAAAAAACACAATGACTCAATTATGCAAATAACTTCTATCAGGAAAATCTCTTCCTTTTAAATTTCTAAGATATGCCTACTGAACAAGTCCTACCATTTTGTCATAAAATCAGATGATGCCCCAGCCATCTCCCTTCTCCTGGCCTTCAGGAAGAGCTCTGTGTGTGTCTGAGCAGAGGTCCCAGCAGTACCAGGGGTCCTTCTGGTCGACAAGTGTCTGAGCTGCAGTGTCTAACTTCACTTCAGTGAAACGCTTCAGAACATTAGTCAGGAATTGGCAAGCATTCCTATTTCCTGAGAACCCTTACATTAGATTTTAAACATATTTGAGGACATTCTCTCCAACACCAACTAACTGCTATCCATAAAGTCAGTGTCCTTCTTGGAGATTCGGAGACATGTAGAGAAAGGTGAGTGGGAGAGAAAATGAGTGGTGAGTCCTCCGGGGAATTTACTGATCATGTTCATGGACCATTAAAGTGTGGACTCTTCATTCATCTCTTGTCTACAGTTGCTTTATCTTGGAAGCTGAAAACACTCTGCCATGTGAACTGTGTTCTCAGATCTGTCACAGGGCATGGCATGACTGTCTCTTCACCAAGCAGGAGTTGGGAGTGTTCAAAAGTCTCTTTGCTGCTCTCCTCAACTTATATTTGGGAACAGAAATTCACTTTCAAAACCATAAGGCTTTCAAAGTTTAATCCAAGATCTGATCACAACATTTGCCATTTTTTTGTAAGGTGTGATTTTTACTTAGTAATCTACCTCTACCAACAATGGTATACATTTCTGAGCTTGTATTTTATTACTTAAATATCTGAAAATACAGATTGGGAAACAGTTTCTTTGGACTTCATTATATTATTACAAACCATCAAATGTACCATTGTACACAGCTGCAGTTTTAGTTTAATTTTCTCAATATTGATCTACCTAGTGCTGTGAAGATGGGGTAATTATAGCTATGTTAGTTGTCTATGACTGTGTAGATACATTTCACTTTTCATATTCTCTAATTGCATGTTAAAAGTTTCCACTACTCCCAATCATCTGATACGTTGAAAAAAGTCTGTATTAAAGCAATCCTCACACACCAGCCATCATTTCATCCCGAGATTTCTTTTCATGGTAAGCAGACCACACAACGTCACTTTTGGCAACAAAGGAGAGGTAGTCCAAACACCTCTTCACATTCACATCACAGAGCTCCCCTCCCGCTCTCGGGTTTTCCGTGGAAGGTGCCCCAGCCCCCGGGGTCCGGCCGTCAGTAAAGACAGGCAGCATCCAGCAGGCTCGGCCCATTTCCCAGAGGGGGGCAGTGACCAACAGATAGTGCCCTCCGCATGGCTACCGCGGCGGTCATGGGACGAAAGGAACCGAGCCAAGAAAAGAAAATGAGATCGTGCATGGAAGAGTTGCCATTTTTCTCCAAGTGCGCCCTGTCCCTTGGCCCCTCTTCACAGTGTCACTCAGATACATTTGGCAGCCAGATCAGTGACCCGCCGCCGGGCCCTGGAAGGCCAGGGCAGCCAGCCTCCAGCAGGGACCGGCAGAGGTTTCTTCAGGGTAGCAGCCGGCGGGATTGGCAGCAGGCAGCCTGCTCTGCGGACCAGTGCAGGGTCAGTACCCAGGGCTGCCCGGCTGGCTTCTTTTGCTTAGAAAAACACTATCTTAGAAAAAAAACTTTACCTCAGGAAATTAATCATTACTTGAGTGGTGGCAAAAGTCAAGTGAGCATTAAATAATAACATCCTAAATAAGAAAGGGACCATAGGCCTGGCAATAGGCATTACGTCCCTACTTCCAATACTCTAATCATGAAACATTTGAAAAAATTAAAATGGTTATTTGGTCTTGTTTTTTTTACAATTCAGTGTTGGCATTTCACTTGCAAACACTCATAGGTCTTATGAGAGTAATTAGTGAAGGAAATTTTAGAGGCCGTTGCCATACATTTGCTTTTCAAACGCCAGAGATCAATCACAGAATGTTTTCAGAAATGCATGAGTGTCTTTGCTTCAACAATGGTGGCCCACAAGTCACTGCCGCATATGACCACCGGATGAGGGAAAAGGATCTACGAAAAAACCATGACCGGTGCCAGAGTCCAGCTGAATACAGACTTATTTCCACAGGAGGATTTAAAAAAAGGCACCTTCCTGAGAGCCAAAGTCATTACAAATGCTTCTTTTATTAGCAAAAATTCCCATAACAACCTCAGTCCTCCCTAAAATGAGCAAGTTGCCGATATGAGGCAGATACTGTGAATTATATAAAAACCCTGCCTAGGAATTCAGAGAACTTTTGGAGGAAAAAAACCCACAATATTATGATTTAACTACGGCCTGCTACTTTTTAATATTTTATCATATATTTTCTGCAACAATTTTACATCTGCGATTTTGTTTTTTTCTAAGGGAATGTTTTCCTCTTATACAGCAAAAGGAATTAGGATTTACTACCAAGAACAATTTTACATGAAAATAAACTTTGCCAGAAAGAAATGATCTTCCATGAGGCTATCTCATGCAGAAGTATAATTAAACCTGGTCTATACTGAAAAACAAAATAAAGGGAAACCAAATCTTCATGACACTTTTCTCTCTACATAGCATATACATCATTCTCCCAGATTTGATGACCAAGTCAGTTGATATGGGTACATGGTGGCCAGACTGCTTTCCAAGCTAAATGTAAAAACAATAGAACAAAGTAATAAATTGCAGTTATTAACCTGTTATCTTCATATCACAAAACTGCATCACAACCGTCTTCGCCTTCCCCAGTGCCAGCTCTCCCACAGGAACTCATGCACAACTTCTGGGAATCTAAAAGACGAACAAGAAGTTTTTCAAAATGATGACGCTTGAGGTGAGTTTAATAGGCATGCTCATTCTCCACACACAGAAACTGCCTTCCCTGAGCGGGGGAGATGAACTGGACCTCTCAAGAAGACTTTTTCCCCCCCAAGAAAAAAAAAAAGTCTTTTGTTTTAACACAGTGCACATCTTTGGAGTAAGTACTTGTATGAAAAGAACTGCTTGTAACAGCAAAAGGGGAGGCCGTTAGGAAAACGAGGCTCGAGTTAAAGCTTAACGGAGAACATATGCCACTGAGGTCCACGATGCAGGTCTGCACCAACGCCGAGATCCTCACGGATTGCACGGTGCCTAGCAGCTCACTCCCCAGGATAAAGTCGCAGATTCTCGTAGCAAATTCTTTTCTATAGTTTACATCAGCAATGTTCTGTTCTGTGCTAAAATTAATTTCTAAACTAGGAGGCCAAAACCAACCAAAGTAAAATTCTGATACTTAACAAACTCTGGTAAGTAGCAAAGAAGGGGATTTTCTCATAGTTAGAATTAATATTTATCCAAGTCTGATCCAAAGACATGCATGGAAGGTCAGTCACACTACTTAATCCAAACAGATTAATCAATCAACCGCCTTAAGATAGTTTAGGTCCAAGTAGAAAGGGCCCAAATAAAATGTTACTAAATTCAGATGGTCATTGTATACTTGCTCATTTTTAAAAACATTGCTCTTTCTGCCAGAAAAGTTATTGTCTCATAGGAAGGATTAAAGCATCAAGACACGACAGTTAAAATGAGCCTTAGTCCAGGACCAGATCATGAGAACATTCAAAGTGCCTCAAGGAAGGAGTTTACTTAACTGTCCCCCTCCCTTCTGCACATCACTGCAGCAGCACCCCGGGACACCCTGTGCACATTGAGACATGAATCATTATAAGCAAGTAGGCCCACTCAGTTCCTCAAAAGACACAAAAGGTGCAAAAATAGCTTCTGCAATTGAAGCAAGAACCACATCAGCAACCAGATGAATGTGGGTGGTCAGATAAGAGTCTGTTGCTGCAAAGGGCAAATCATTAAGTGAATGGTAGATTTATTTTCTTTCTTAAACTTTGTTCTCCTTGCCTCAAGTCAACCATTTGATGGCACTTAAAGTGACACTTGACAAACTCTACTATTTTCACATCTGAAAGCTTCATCGAATCAAAGGGCATGATTGACTGAACACCGAGGGCGTGGTGGCAGTGCCCTAAACAAGGAAAGAAATAGGAAAAAAGGGCGTATACGGTCTATAAGATAATGAACTATATGCATATTTTTAACAAACCAAATAGCATGTCTTATTTGAAGAAAAAAATCAAGTTATTATGTTTAAAAAAAAAACCCACAATTATACCTTGGCAGCATGACCTAAGCTAAAGTAAAGCATGCATCCTTCAGAGAATAGATAAATCACCGAGCTACTTTACACTCCGAGCAAAGTTCACCCAAGACATACGTGGGCCAAGGTTCTATAGATATAGCTCCATACAGGGAACAGTAACTTGCACTGTTCAGTCACTACCTATGCTTGGCAATCCCATAGTCATTGAACTAACAGGGAAGAAGGGGAAAGAACATAATCCTCAGGCAGCCGGCACTGACACCCACTCCTCTCCAACTGTGGAGCAACTACAGGCAGGTACCCAACCGTCCTCAAACCCAGAAATCATCATTCCTACTAGCAACCACCACAGGCAAAACTGAACAGGGGAGTGTCCCCCAGACAAAGGTGATGGGGTAATGTTCCCAGTTCTGACTCTGCTTTTTCAGCCTTACTTTCCAGGGCTCAGGTGATGAAAATAGAAAACAAACACTCATCTCATTACAGGAATATATGTCTGAAATTTTAGATTACTAAAGATCCCTCTTTTCACTCATTAAGAAGATTCAAAATTTGCTTCTGTCATATGACTCATAATTCATGACTTCTTCAATGTCTGGTTTTCCTTTACAGAACTTAAAAATCAAAGATAATGATGATGTACTTCTATTTTATCTCACAGAATCTTCCAGGAAATTAACGTGATTTTAAAGCAAAAATTTCAACGATGTTAACATGAAAGATATGACACCGATTTCTGAGATTTTGCACCAATCATTTTGTTGCAAATTGGAGTAGGTAGAGGCCTCCAGGGGGGGAGGTGATTATTGGTACTGTTACAATAAAGACGTGGAGGTGACCAGCTCAGAAAATTATGTTTACATTAACTTCAAGTGAGTTTGTGAGCCTTAGATTCTTTATCAAAATTAAAACAAAAAACAAAAAATCTTTCCCCAAACAGCTCTTGAGAATGTGGTATGACAACTCATGCCTCTCTTCCACGGACATCAGTAGTTCACACAGTACACTATTAAACAATGGATCAAAAGAAAGGAGAGATTTTCATTTCCTTAACTTTACTTTTAGGTTATTAAATTCATAAAATATCACCAGGCAATGAAAATTTAATATTCAATAAAATGAACAAGTTTTTCAGAAAATAGTGTTAATAGATCTTATTAAATATCCCCGAGTCATTTAAAATTTATTTCTCAATATGAGGTGAAAATTACCTTCCACTTTACTAACAAAGTACAGACTGATTCGTCTGTTACCTGAAAGTCTGTGGAAGAATTCCTTAAAATACTTTCCAATTCTGTATTTCACATTTGTAACAAACACTTGAGAAGTTTGACTATTATTGTTTCTATCTCAGTGGTTTCTCAGTCTTTCTACTCTTAGAAAAAAAACTATTAGCATTAAATACTTATTCTTGGATGTTTAAAGGCTATTATCACTAATCATTATGCTAAGCAAGGGTCATAGGTCATGTTGAGCTATGAGTTGATAGATGGATAAATGATAGGCAGAGAGAGAGAAAAGTATTTTTAAATTCTCCATTATTTCAATTCTTTATTATTTTAAATTATTTTAAGACATACTATGGCTTAATGATTTAATATGACTTTTTTATGAATCTTGCAAGATATTAAAGTTTCATTGGCAAACTTCTCATGCAACTATAAGTACCTTCCATCATTTGTTTTTTTTTTCTGAAATTAAAGAAATGCACAATAAATTATAATTTAGTAGAAGAGTTAATAAGATAAACCAGTTACACTTTAGATGAGAGTTGTCACAATAAAAAATAAAAAATTATTTGCATAACTCTTTTAAAAAATGGCATAGGACCTGGAAACAAGATACAATCCTTATATTTCTTGGTTAAAAGGCGTGTTTAAGAATGACATTGAAAAGAATGAAGCTGCTCTTCAAACACTAGAGAAGACATTTCTATTTTATGGAGTGTAGCAGAAGAGATCCGAAAGTAGCAGGTGCAGATGGGAGATGCCACTGAACAATAAACAAATGCTCGAGATACACGGCGGAGGCATCTTGCCCCTCTACAAAAAGAATAAAAGGCTCTAAATGGGCCACTGATCCACTTTGCAGCGTCTCGAGTGGCAAGATAAGAGAGACCTGGGAGGTGGTGGATGGGCAGGAAAAGGCTGTGAAGATACAAACACACACAAACATTTTGATCAGTGTGATGACTACATGAAGGTAAAGGTTGCGGTTGGGTTTGAAATGTGAAGAAGAAGAAGAAGAAAAACAATTAAGAGAGACAAGGAGGAAAAGGGAAAATTGGCAATTTTGGAACACTGGGCAATTTGTTACTGAGGCAACAAGACAGAAGACTTTGAAAAGTCAAAAACATGTATGGGAAAAGGGATTTTTCACAAGACTTGGCTGGGGCAAAGTTGGTAAAAAAAAAATTCACTTATTTGGCCATTTGTTTCAGATTCTGATTTTAGGAACAGCCTGTAAAAATGACCCCCGACCTACCTTTGGTTTATTATTGCTTGTCAGCAGGGAGTCAGTGCTGGAGCACAGAACAGATAGAAAATAAAGCATCGTGTAATTAATACTACTAAAAACAAAACAGCAGGTAGTTGTGAATTAGTGATTAGAACTTAAGCCTCCTTGACTGGCATTTCCTTACAATTTTATGACATGTATTGAATGAATGCCTACTATGAGCCAGAAAAGGGCTGAGCTGATAAAATCCAAAAAGGGAAAAGGTGAGTTCTGCACCTCAGAGCTCTGAGCCCAGACGGGAGATATGATGAACAAGTTCAATAAGCTGTTTTAGGTGCTTTGACATAAACATAGACACAGAACAGGGAGATCACAAAAGAGGGACTAGTCAATCCTATCAGGAGAATTAGAAGAGGCTTTTAGAGAGGCAATGATACTGAGCAAGTCTTTAAAGAAAGCTATGTATAGCCCTGGCCGGTTTGGCTCAGCGGTTAGAGCGTCGGCCTGCGGTCCGGAGAGACCCGGGTTCGGTTCCCGCTAAAGGCGCGTACCTCGGTTGCAGTTTGTCCCCGGCCCTGGTCGGTTGTGCGGGTGGCAGCCACTCGATGTGTCCCTTCACGTCGATGTTTCTCTCTCTCTCTCTCTCTCTCTCTCTCTCTCTCTCCCCCTCCCACTCTACCTGAACAAAAAATGGAAAAATGTCCTCGGGTGAGGATAAAAAAAAAAAAAAAAAAAAAGCTATGTATGCTAATACACAAAAGTACGCAGTTCTCAATTTTAGATTTAGAGATAACTACATTTGCCAGATGAAATAAAAATATAAGAATATCATTACAGTTTTCCCTTATGTGTATATACTTTATTTTAGTGTGGTGAAATGTTAGTTCATGGGGATGCTTAGGTAATAAGATGATCTCGTTAATACAACCTCAATGTTAGGTAAATACCACAGAGAAAATAACTTTAAAAAATTCTTTTTCTTTATTGATTTTAGAGAGAGAGAAAGGGAGAGGGAGAGAGAGAAACATTGATGAGAGAGAACATCAGTTGGCTGCCTCCTGCATGCTCCTCACTGGGGATCGGGCCTACAACCTAGGCATGTGCCCTGACCAAGAATCAAACCGGTGACCTCTAGGTGCATGAGTCAACACTCAACCACTGAGCCACACTGGCCAGG